ACCCGACTCTTTTGTACAACGTTTTCCGGAACAAAATTCAGGCCGAGTTCCGATGGTGGGATCAAATTGATCAGGTATATGACATCTGGATACAACGTTATCATACTTGTAGTTGATGGTTGAGCATCTATTTTGAGATTAATGGTGGAAATAGATTGGTGTGGAGAAAGAGAATAAAAATATTTTGTCTCTAATTGTTAACGTTAGTTGTTGAATTATTTAACACGCATAAAATAATAATTGGTTGGTGAAGAGAGAAATATAAAATAAATAATATAATATATGGTAAAAGATGTCTAGAAGTTTTTCTACATCTAGTAAAACTTCTACAATTTTGAACCGCCACATCAGATTTTTGATACTATGTGGCAATGAATTAGAGCAATCTATGTACCATTGGATGCTCTTAGCTTTGGGTGATCGTAAACATGTCCCGCAACTCATTAGCTCGAGCAGTTGATTTAAGTTTAGTTTTTTTTCTTGCCATCTTAATTTTGGTGAAGGTAGAAATTGTGATCAATTGGGACAATGGGTATTGAAATTTTGTATTTCTATTTCATGCTCTCTGGGAACGAGTAATTTTTTCAGTTATTCTTAATAAGTGTTGTATGCTTCGAGGGGTGTGCTTCGTGATCACTTTTAGTGATATTGCCTGTGAAGTTGGACTTATTATGATGAATTTTCCTCTTTACTTGATGCTATCCTTATGATACTGGCCTCCAAACTTTCTTTTCTTAACTCTTGATTTTTCTGGATTTGACAAGGTCATGCATGCTGACATATTTATTTATTTATTTTTTATGACTATTTAGTTTCTGCTGTTGGGTGCGGTTCCGTTCCCAAAAGACGTACCTCGTTTGAAGGAGCTCGGAGTTGGAGGTGTGATTACTCTGAATGAGCCATATGAAACTCTGGTTCCAACCTCTTTGTACTATGTGAGTGTTTTACTGTCTCGTGTATTGGTTTTTCTTTAGCTCTTCATTTTTTTTTGAATTGAGGGTTATCTATCTATTCGTGTCTAGTTTTCTTATTCTTCAATAAGTCCCATCATCAGTTGGTCTTAGGAGTTATTGGCTATGGTGAAAATTAAGTGCTGGCTTATCGTGTAGGCAATGTGTTCTTTGTCTTTGATAGGGTTGTTTGCCTGACACTGCTGGAATATACATACTTACTTACATACATTGACGCACACATATGCTTAAATATATATTAACTGAGTAGGGATTGTTGGTGCATATCAGTAACTGAGCATGAGTATGGTATACATTCTTTTACATGTGATGCAGTAGCTTGCTGTTTAGCTTTGTAATTGGGTACTTATAGTTAGTTTTTTATTCCAGCCTTTATCTTGAATCATTATCGGTAGTTTAGAAGGTTAAGTAATGAACAATGTGATTTTTGTCTTATGGTTGTTTCCCTTGAAGTCATACTTGTGTTTGTTGCAAGCTACTTATTATCTAATGGAATGCAAGAAAATATCCTGAAGATGAAGTCTCCTGTTTGTGCCCTGCAGATATGTTAAATGGGCCATACCTAGCGGTTTCAGGCTACACCATCCTATTTTAGAAAAGGGAATTAAACGGGCCATGAGAATGTGAACGTAGCTTGGACCCTACAGGCTTTGTGCTAAACGAGCTACTAATTGGTCATATATCAAAATTTGTCAAGCTACAAATTAATTGCAAAAATTTGAATTTTGATATACACAACATTTAATTTTAAAAGGTATACATAATTTTAGTTGATTTGCATTGACAAATCAATAAAACTCAAATTCGCATAGAATGGCATTGACATATAGTAAATGTTTCTGCTCATTATTTACAAAAAATGTGTATTCTGTTACATATTTGAAGTAGTAAGAAAATAATAAATTTAATATGACTACACATTTTACAACAAAATAAGCTGTTGAATATTATATAATCAACAAAAATAAATTATAAATGAATATAGGTATTGAGTTTTGTTTGGCAGACTAAGCAGCTAACCTACTGGTCCTTACATGCTGGGGCTAGACTGCTTGATTAAAGACTTAACCATATTTTCCGGGCTATATGGATCGGTTATACGAGCCTCAGCCCATTTACCATACCATCTCTAGTGGCTGGTGTTGGACTTATAATTCTTTATCTCAGAAAGATGTAATTGTAATATTTTCCTTCTTAAGGAGGCTGTAAATTTGGGTCTGGGTGATATAGACCTTTCATCTATCAAGTATAAAATGTATTGAGTGATCAACTATGCTAATTTTTCACATTCTCCTAAAGTTTACTGTATTTTGTGATTTCACTTTTCAGGCTCATGGGATAGACCATCTTGTAATTCCAACTAGAGATTATCTCTTTGCTCCTTCTTTTGGTGATATTGACCTGGCCGTGGATTTCATTCACAGTGCGTTTAATTTTACTCTTATATTTTTGTATTTTATGATCATAAAATCTTTCACTGATTTCTCAACATTTCACAAGTTTATTATGTTGCCTTGTTGATTCACAGGAAACTCTTGTAGTGGTCAAACGACATATGTCCACTGCAAAGCAGGAAGGGGAAGGAGCACAACTATTGTTCTCTGTTATCTTGTACTCTTCTCTTCTCTGTAAATAAACATGTCTCATGTACAAATTTTAATTTTTTTTTTCTTACACTAATAAGTCAATCCCCTTGATTTTGATTTTCAGGTGGAATATAAACACATGAGTCCAACTGCAGCATTTGAATATGTTCGGTCGAGGAGACCCAGAGTGTTACTGGCTCCTTCACAATGGAAGGTATGCAAAATGTAATGCAACCCGATTGCAAGATGAAATTGCATGCCAGGACCCAACACGCACATTTTTGTTCTCTATTTTTCAGGCAGTCCAAGAGTATCAGCAACAAAGGGCAGCTGCTAAAGCCATGTGCACGTCTGGAGATGCTGTGTTAATTACAAAAGCAGATCTTGAAGGATATCATAGTCCCTGTAATAAGGAGCTGAGGGTCGTGTCCCGTGTGACGAGGACAAAGCCTATGATGGCCAGGCTATCTTGTCTATTTGCGTCTCTCAGAGTTTCAGGTAACTGTGGGCCCGTGATGAGGCAGTTGACCGTGGCTCGTGCTTGCTAAAAAACGGCATCTTTTTAGCCGCTGCTAGCTTGAACAACGTGTTGTGATACATACGACTGATGCGAAGTGTTAAAAAATAGTGTTTTTAGTGTTGTAAAAAAATTAGAGAAGAAAAACCAAAGGGCAGAGGAGATAAATGTGGCTTTGTGATGACTGTCAGCATTTGTATATAGGCATGGATGAGCGGTACACTGCAGTTCAATCGATGTATAGTTGCGTTTGATTTCCTTTATTTGCCGAATAAGGAACAAATCCGGGCATTGGAAGTGAAATAAATGTAACATAGTTGCATCATATAATTGTTGATAGTTGGGTTTATTACGCTTTACCTCAAAAGAAAAAATCTTCAATGTTGTGTATGTAAGTAGAAAAAATCTTCAATGTTGTGTATGTAAGTAGGAAACTTTTCATTGCAGTTTCTCCCTCGAGATTTTTTTTTTTAAGAACGATAGAAGGCATTATATAACTCAACCGTTAACAATGTTCCAATACAAAGGGGAAGGCCTAATCAAATCCTAAAAATCAAATTGAGTGGCACGTCTACAAGATGGTTTAGAGCCTCAAATCAACAAGAATCACAAAGGAGAAAAAACACGGCATTTGAAGGTCCTAGCCATTGCCATAAGGGCTAGCAGGAATCCCCCAAGCCAAAGAAAAACTAGAAAACATAAGCAAACTAAACAAGGAGAACCAACAATGTATTAAGTAATGGAACTGGGGTTGATTGTTGGACCAGTTGGTCACCGATTTGTAAAATTCTATCGCTTCGAAAAAAAAAAAAGAATTGAACTGAACTCCTGCCAATCAGCTTGGGCATTTCTGATCACCAAAATGAACTAGAATGAGAGATGTCCGAAAAATCCACAAAATACGAGTCTTCCATAGCCACTAGAGCAAATAGGTCATTTTGTGGCTTCATAACTCTGATTTGTTCAAGGAACACACCTGTTGTCACCAATGCTTAAAAGAATTGGCATATGGGGTGATCCCATCTCAGGAGTTAGGGGCAAGATCCCATAATCTACAAGCTCTGGGATATGGTAATAAAATATTTTATTTTGTATACTTACGTTTAATGTATAGTACTTGGTAACAATATGTATCAATTTATAATGTTTAGGAGTGTCTCGTTAGGTCTGAAATTCACTTTTTTTTTCGTACTTATCTGAACGTTTTTATTTTTGAATCACTTGAATAATTTAAATTATAAGTATTTTTTTTAAAAAATAATAATATTTTATTGTTATCAATTCTTTGATATATAATGTATTAAATCATCCTTATATGATTTTAGATTTGGTAATTATATTGTATATATATACAAAAATAATTGCATATACTTATAAAATATAAGTTAAAAGTATCCATCAATTCTAATTGAAAAATAATACAATTATTACTTATCCATTATAATAAATATATTTATCAACTCCATTATATCGTATCAGTACAAAAAAACAATTATTATAATATGAGGGATGTTGAGTTCATTTAAATAAAAACAATAATAAATTTACAAAAAGTATACTCGGACATTATCCTGTTGGGATTGTTTTCGTAGTTTTTTCGTTGCGTCTGTAGTTGTGTTTGGGTAGTTGCGAGTTTGTATTCTAGCGTTGCTAACTTAGGCTCTATGCGATTCTCGGATATGTCCTCTTAGTCTTATTCAGCCTTTAGTTTTACTCTTCAGCTTTTGGCTGCTTTTTTATTCGTACTTTGTGCGGATTTTAGTTATATAATATCTCTATCGTTCTGTAAAAAAGAATTTTACAAAAATTATTTCAAATTAAACAAAAACTTATTATTTTTAAAGGTTTTTTTTTT